GATAAATTATTATACTGCAGATCTTTGTGCATAGGAAATTTTAATATATGCACGTAATGGACATGATTTGAGATACGTAGGTGTGTAATATGCACACAATGCATATAGTATGAAAAAGTATATAAAATATCCAAGATAATATCCTGCCTCTTATAATACTTCAGATGACTCAAGATGACAGATGACTCAGACTTTTCTTGTTTATTCTCGAAAATATGAATTTACACAAGAATCCATAGTCTCGTCATTATGAGTAAAAAATGATTTCAGGTGATGCCTGGGGAGCCTAATCGGGGATATCTGTTGGCCGTGCTGCTGCTATTGGTCAGTTTCCGCAAGGCTGGCTGCTCAACATCCGCTCCTCGATATCCGGTCTGTAAACCGGGTCTCGAATTTTGGTCGGTCGAGCGTGCTACCTGTTGGCCTTGCACCAAATGTTCTCCTGAATTTACTCTGAGTCCCTGCGCGATTTATAAGGATGCTATTTGCGGACCACTGTCCGCCCTTGAGCTCGACTGGTCTTTCCTTTCCACTAGGAAACGACCGGAGACCGGCCAAAGAAGCCTCGAAGCGGTTACTTCGAAGATGTTGTGGAGGTTCCCGGATTTGGACCAGCAACAGATTAGGCAAGACTCGAAGCAGTTTGTTGATAATTCGGAGCGAGATGTTCAGTCGAAAACGAAGAATCAGGTATAATTCAGATCTACAATGACGTTTTATTATTCGCAGAGTGGAACTCGGAATTTATCTGAATTTATTATGTTGAGAGGAAAACGATTCGTATATACCTATGTATACATATTATTACGTTCACTGGCCAAAGTGATGAAATTCACTTCTTGGATTTTTTTTTTAATTTTAGTGCCAAATTTCATTGACTGAGATAAATTTCTTAACACCGTCAACAGACAAGACAACAATTTTTTGACCATGGAAACAACAAATAATTTATTTTAGAATCACGATTTTATGCATTTCTCATGTATGCAATGATATGCAATGTTTATTTGAGTTTAAATTCTAAAGAGAATTTTGAAAAAAGAATATTAATTTCTGTATTCTTTTCGTCTTGTGAAATTAATCGGAATTGTACATTGTGGCCTTAAATTTGTTGTACAAACAAAGTTAGATAAATTCAATTTCGACTTAAAGTAATATTAAAATATCATTAAAATAATAATTATATAAATAGAATAGAATATCAAAATGATAATAAGATAAAAATCAAGAGTAATGATATGAGTTCACTTCTGAGAGAATCAGGTAGATTTTCTAGTTTAAAATAATATAGACATCATTAGAATAATATACAAATAAGAATTTTAAATAGAGATATAATTATACATTTACCAATCACAAACTCGTAGCTGTAGTGTTAAACCAAGAAATTTTATTCTAAATTTTCTATTTATTTCTGCGAGTTAATGAAAAATTAAATAAATAGATCCCAAAAATGAAATTTCCAATATAATCTTATTCTTTATTTATTAATAGGAGTGTGCATGTTCAGATAAACTAATTTAATAGGTAGGAGTAAGATTGGGCATTAAATTTTGGAAATTTTATCTCAATAAAAAAAAAAAAAAAATGAAAATTTAAAATTATTGCACATTTTCCAGTGAATGAAACGTCTGTGAAATTTATAAATTCTACGATGAAATTTCAGCTATTGAATGAGCCTCCTTATCCAAGAAGCGCGGCTATTTCTAAGGAGAGAATCCTATGGGATTGGCAAACAGTCGCATTGATTCTTGCCGTGTGTGCCTGTATTCTCTTTTTCCTGGTCGCAGGATGCTCGGCTTTGGTCTACGCGAGACAGTGGCGTCGGATGAAGAAGAACTTCGAGCCTGGTAAGAACTTACAAGAATTTATATTTATCATTGATAACAGTCACTGAGGATTTTTATGCACTTATAGTGAATGCGAAAGTGAAAAATTTTACAGCATGTAAAAAATAATATAAAACATCTAAAATATGCTTTCCATAACATTGACGTGTAAAACAATTTTCTATTTTCTATTTTATTATCTATCTATTTTATTTTATTCTACTTTTCAACTTGAAAATTTTTTACTTAAAATTCGCAGTTCATAGATCATACTTTTTGTTGTTTACATATCTACTTAAATGATATCTATTTTATAAAACATTATAAGACAAAGAAAAATTGAAAATTGAAAATATTTCATTTTTTGCAAAGCTTTTAAATAAAAGTCATTCTAAAGAGATTAGATTAGAGAAATATAATATATCTGTTCATAAGGTTTATCAGCAAAAATTTATCATTAAGCAAAAATTGTATAAACATAGATTGTACAATATAAAGCTTTACTAAAAAATTATACAATATAAAGCTTTACAACAATATAAAGCTTTGCTAAAACATAGATTATACAATATAAAGCTTTACTAAAAAAAGCAAAAATTGTATAAACATAGATTATACAATATAAAGCTTTACTGAAATATAAAGCTTTACTAAAATTAATGATAAATAAAATGGACTTTTAGTTATGATGCTACGAGACAAGAGTAGCTTTACAATTAACATAATATTAATTATAGTTAACAGATAAGATACAAGATAAATTGGTTGCCTTATGAAACTCATTTTGATATCATAGGCAATATTATTAGTCAAAATAATTTTTTCTACTTTGTATTTTGTATTTTTATTATTATTCTTTAATAAAGCTTTAAATGGTCCATATTTATTTATAATGTATTTTGCTTGATAATTTTGATTTTTTTAAATTCTGCAACATTTTATATATGAAAAAGTGTAAAAGATAAAATTTCTATCGTCTTGAAGATGAATAAATTAGTAACAAAGTAGTTCAAAATGTTCGATTAAACATACTCTCATAAGTTGATTTGTATTAACAATATATGAATGAATGATAAAATTAATCAAAAGTAATTCTTATTATTTTTTTTTATAAAAATAAATACATATATCAAATGAAATATAAATTGTTTATTTAAAACTATTTATTTGTTTAAAATTTTATCAATGGAATCTTATAATTGAAATGACTTCGTTATCAAAGTGTTCACCAGTTTCTAAAATTAATCACGATGGTTTTTGAGAGGACCTTGTTCTTATCTAATTAAACAATCAAACAAGTTTAATATAACGAGCTAACATTTCTATGATACATTAATAATAATATTTATAAAAATATTTAAAAATAATATTGCACCATGCCGCAATGTTTCATGACAGTTTTAACAAAGCCAATCTTTAATTTTATATAACTAAATCATATTCCACCCGAAATGGATGAACGATAGCGTACGAGCAACAACAGCAAAGGGATAGAAAATTTTTGTATCAATGGAAAAAGTGGGACAGCAGTGTACCAAGTATTAATAAAATTTCACGTACCGGTATTTTGTTACATTCGATTCCGAAGGATTGTTCCTCGGAGGGGGATAAGAAGTCCTTTAAAATGCAAGACAGATTTCCTTCATTAGAGGGCCGCTCACGACCTCTGCTCACCTTGGCTCGATCTATCACGCCCGGATATGACGTCCCGGTGTCCGATGCTTCTCATATCTTTCATGATGCTCCGTTCCGCGTTCTCTTTGTACTCGTTTACCAACCTTATGTCATCTGTGGTTACACATCGCTTGTAAAACGATGCGTTTTTATTTTGGAGGTGTTTGCTTTGATTGGACCGAAGTCAATTCGAAAATTGGTATTTTTTATCAATTGTCAATTATTTATCAGCAAGCATGATATCATGTCAGTATCTATAAAAAAATTTCATTGTGCATGCGTGTAATACTACGTGTATACACATTTATACACAGAGTGTATAGTTTAACAATTTACTAAAATGTTTTACTAATATGTAAGATGTTGAAGATGAAGAATCATTCTTATTCAATCAGGGTCAGGGAATATAAACGTTCACTTAGTTTGCTATAGTTAGTTTAAATGGAAGTAAAGTGGAATACACTTAATTTTCATGGTTCTTTCGCAGTCGAATGCAATTTGTTGTACAATGCTTTACAAATTTTTAGAGGGATCTCTCTTTTCACTTGTGAAATTAAAATAATTGAAAATTAATTGACTTTATTAATGTTTTAAATTTAAATACTTTTTCTCCAAATTGTTTTCCCTTTACATTTAGATTCAAACCTTCCAGATATACCTGCTTCAAAATATATATATTTGATGATGATCTTTTAGAAAATTGAATACTCCTAATAATCCAAGTTTGTATGTAATATTTGTAGAAATTTTTATGTTCAAATTTGCGCATGACATTTGTACATCTTTGTGTATAACTTTTCACACAGACAAATTGGCATGTAATATTTATGCATAATATTCGTGCACATATTTCTCACGTGCAAATTTCTACATAATATACAATGAATACAAAGCTACGCAAAGCCGTGAGAATTATAACAAATAAGAATAATAAAGCTTGAATCAAGCTGAAAAGTTATTTCCATCGGCTGTCGACATTTTTCGAAACGTTTAAACAACACGTACGAAATCGCGTGACCCGGCTGCTTTAAATTCCTCACGGTGCTCGTCCAGCATTGTAAAGCTATAAACAGGCAATGTTTGCAAATCGCCGTTACCGATGTTCACGAATGAGAAGTTGAACGCGTATTCGAGGATTGATCGGCAGAGCTCATCGACTGATGATGAAATTTCTCGATGAAATGCAACGAACACGTATGATATAAGTATACCTACCGTGCACACGCACGTGCATTAGAAGAAAGACGTTCGAATGGTGTTATGATCTACAATGAACGTTTGTACGATATTACTATACCCGCATTTGCATAACGAGCGTTACGCAGAACTCATCAACGCCGGAACCCTCTCTTTTCCCCTCCATTCTTCCTGGATACCCCTTTTCTTCCTCTCCATCTCGCTGCCACCCACGCTTCCCGAGGAAGCGTACTATCTAGCAATGGAATCAATCCGTTCGACGGTTCCGATCTTTTTTTTTTTTGCAAACGTTCCCAACAGTTTTTCATGCATTATCGACCAGTCACGGCTATTCATCGTATATTTGTACGTGAATTCATTGTTGCAATTGTGGAAACATTCGTGTTTGTTTAATTGTGCAGTTATTTAGTTTCCCAAATTTCTGATTCTTCAGGACGTGAAATAAGCGTGTCAATAATGTAGCAATCGCTGGGTAGTATGCTTGTATAATCGTAGCTCGATTTCTATAGTTGTAGGTAATAATGGTGTTGTAATTATTATAGTTTGAACAATGGAATCAATCTGTTCGATTAATAACTTTCTTACAACTTTCCTTCTCTTCTCCTCGTTTTTCACAACAATTTCCACTCGTTGTTGACCAGACACGAGCATATTTTTATTTACATCTCAATTTGTTGTTGCAATTGTTCAACGTATTAGCGTCTGTTTTAATTATAAAATTCTTGATATATTTTAATCATAGTTTTTCGTGCTGTTTTTCCCTTTTTGTATCAGAGACCATCTTTTGACTTTTATGTATGCATACATGTTACTAATATAATGAACATTATAATGAAAATTACAGTATACAATACATGATAAATATTCGAACTTATATAAATATATAACTGATATGTATAGTATTTACACATATAAAAATATATACAACTATGACTATAATATGTGTGACATAATAATATGTTATAATTCAATATAATTCAACAGTATACAATAATAAATATTAGAATTTATAATTATATAACTGATATGTGTAGTATTTACACACATAAAAATATATATAACTATAACTATAATATGTGTGACATAATAATGTTATAATTCAATTAATAACATGTAATATGATGATGACGATGATAATAATAATAATGATAATATATAATAATATGTAATAATTTAATTTATAATTCAACTTTCATGATCATAATTGATTTTATAGTTAATCACAGTTATAGTACAAAATTATGATAATGCTTACATTACTGTCATACTTGCACAATAAATTTTAAAGGAATAACATGTATAGAAAATTAGTTATAGTTGACTTTCAACTGTCTTTGAAAGAAATTTTCAACAAATTTTACATTAAAAAAAGAGATTGAATTTTTACAGAAATTTAGATTTTTATGTATAACTAAAGAAATGGAGTGCAGCTAGAGATTTGATTAGGCTGAACTGAAATAGATTTTACTTTCTATAATATACTCAGTCAGCAGTTCTATCTAGACAATAAACATGTCTTTGTATTTTTCTATAAATACATATACTAGATAATGTGAGAACAAAATTCCAACAGCATGGAAATGAGTTTTATATGAAATATGAAATATATGAAATATATGAAATATATTTGAAACATTATTTGTTATAAATATAAAATGAAACATTATTTGTTATATTATTATTATTATTATTATTATTATTTGTTATATTATGTTATATTATTTGTTATATTGCAATGTTAAACACTGCATTAAAACAAATTTATGACGATTTATTAGTTTATTGATATAAATGTTTGCTGGAAATTTTTTTATGTAAGGATTCGATCTACACTTAATCCCATCACTACTAGACATTTGTGGAAAACCTTTGACTCGTTGGTATGAATGAAGCAGTACTATTTTGATTTCAATGCCGGTTTCACGCATGTTTCCTGTAACCTACTCTACTCTTGTAACAACTATAGTATTGTTTTTCTGAGAAGTAGAATTCCGTTTGTAAGAATGAAGATTCATGAAAACGGGAGTAAAAAGCTGATTATAAAAATGGGAAATGGTTTATTTATTTACGAAG